TCTATTCTATTGCAACAAGCCCACGACAGAGCATAGCCACCAACCCCAGACCATGTCCTACAGTTGAGCACTGAGATGCCTCACATTGCAGCTTCTTGGCCAACCATGGTTTTATTGAGATCCTCTGAACCAGCTACCAGAATGAGGCAGGTCTTACAACCTGAACTGGAGACTTGCTGAGCCTTTGGTAGCTGTCAATCCTTGTGTGTGGGTGCATGTGTATGTGTGTGTTGGGGGAGGGTATGATTAGTCCATGGTTTCCCCAGATGTTCCCTGCTTTTAGGAAGAAAACACTCAACTCCCAGGAAATCTCTTCCATCCTAGGAAAAATGGGACTGTTGGTCACCCTAGTGGGAAAATATGGACCACACACAGCTGACCGGACTGTCCCATTCCTATGTTTTATGAACTTGTTTTTTTTTTTTTTTTGATAGCTCTACTACCAGAGGTCAGAGTGGTTGTGGGTGGCCCCACAGATCTCCTTTGCTCAGCATAGGAGGGATAGCCCTTCCCCTTGGTTGGGTCAAGTTTCCAGTACCTGCCTAAAGAGCAGCCCAAACCTCATGGCTTGTGTAGAAAGATCTTTCAGGTGGACCATGTTGCCCCCACTCTCCAGCTGGAAGGGAAACACATGAGGCTTACCTGATGCATGGTAAAACGTCCCTCATCACCTCCTATCCACCCACTCCTAGATTTCCAGGCCCCATGGTTTTATCTTCAGACATTTACTGAAAACCTACCATATTCAAGTACTGTTCCCAATGTTTCCAGAGTATGTAGAGGAGAGAGGAAAATGGCTAAGCAGTGTGCCCGGGGGAATAAAAGATGGAGGTCAATAGCATCCTCATGGGGAAAGGCCATAATCGAAAGTTCAAGGGTGAGCAGGATCCTTGCATGACATTCCACAGAGGAAACTGGAAAGTGGGTGTGGGCCTCAGGAGCCTGAGGAAGGATTGGGCAGGGTGTGTGTGTGGGGGGAGATGGAGCTGGGAACCTCCTCAGTGACAGTCTTTTTGGCCACTTTTAGAGAGGAGTTCTGAATTATATCCTGGAGAAGCAAGAGCTTTCTGTGGAGTTGTCTTCTAATGTACAGGGAGAAGGGCACTGGGAGGGCTGGTTCCAGCATCACAATAAGTACTTGTGGAGCTGGCTGAATTTTAACTCGTGACTCATGCATCTTCAGAACTTGAACACTGCCCCACTTTATCTCTGAAAATGCACCACTGGAAATGTACAAGGAGCAGGACAGTTTGTATGGACAATCCACAAAGCAGGCACGTGGGAAAACACTCATGTTTGCCAGTCACCGAAGAAATGCATATTTAAAGATGAAATGTCATTGTTCCCTCCTCAATTAACAAAAGTGGTTTGAAATTTAAAAATGCTCCATGCTGCCAAGTGTGTATACAGTGGGGTGAGTTCATTTCTTTCTACAGTGGGGTAGAGTCATTTGTTCCTAACATTTATTAATATGTACCAGGAACAAAACTGTACATATGCTATAGAGGCAGCATTTCTACTGTGGAGAATCTCCTACAAGCAAATAATTCAAAGTACAGAAAAATAAACTATTATGTAAAAACATGATCCCTATTGGAAGACAGTAGAGACAATGAAATGTTGTCTTTGGGTGATGGTCTGAGGGGGTTCTTTTCTCTGTAGTTTGAACAGTTTCAATAATAAGCACATTCATTCATATTTGTGTCTATTAGGGCGTAGATTTGGAGGAATGTATGACCATAGAGCTCTTCAACCCTGGATAAATTTCCAGATCAGAGGCCATGTGGCACCTCGCCCTCTCCCCTTCTCCTGGAGGAGGCTCCAGATATGCCCTGACCTCAGAGGCTCAGAGATGTCTATTGAGGAACTTAACTCCAGAAAAAGCAAAGCTGAGGAGGCAAGACAATTTGCTAGTTGCTTCCTTGAGAAGCCGACTCACTGCGTGATAATGGTTGGCTGTAACCCGGACCAGCCAGGACTCAGGGAAGAAATTAATGTGCTTTAACTCTTCCAGATCCCTGCCTTAAAGAAACACAAGGGGAAGTGGTTACAGGCTTATTCATAACGCCATCTCAAATGTCTGACTTATAGCAAGAAAAAGGGAGCTACCAGGAAACGAGAAAGGGCCAGTTTTCCTTTGCCAATACCTAAGAATCACTACGGTTGTATACAGAAGCCATTTATTTTTTTATACATACTCCAAATATATTCTTAAAAGAAAAACAACTTAAAAAAAGAAAAACAGCTTGCAGGACCAAGGAATTAGCCCAGTGAGCAGAGTGCTTGCCATACATGTGTAAGGATTTGAACTTCTGGGTGGACACCTATAGTCCCAGAGCTGGGGAGGTAGCAAGGAGATCCCTGGAGCAAGCTGGCTAGCTAGACCAGCCCAATTAGTAAGAGATTCTGCCTCAATATATAAGGTGGAGAATGTCCCAGTGTGTGTCATAAAAGGGAATTGAAAGCATTACCCCCAAGCCTGTTTGTTGTACCATATCAGTTCAGCCAATTAGAAAGCCAATAAATGGCAGTGACCTCTTTTGGCCTCATCCTATGCTCAGTATTCACCGCAGAAGGGGACAGGAAATAGAGTTGAGGTTAATATGCATAGTCTGAGCATGTTAGGAACCAGAAGCAGAGTAGCTCACAGATGTGTGGAAAGGAGACAGCCAGGCTGAGCTATGCTTTGCAACAAACTTTGAGCAGAAGTAACTGAAGACTTCTAAAGAACTGAGCTCTAGTTGATAAAGAAGCTAGATCCATGATACAGAATCAGGGAAGCCCATATTTCTTTCTCTGGAGAAGAACTTCAAGCATTTCAACTGCTGGGACCAATAGTTCCAACAGTTGAAATGCTTTTAAGAGAGAGCCAGTTTCTCTCCCAAACTGCCAAATGAGTGATCTAGAAGCTAGTCCCATGCAGCAGCAGGTGACTCAATTAGATAGCAAGAAAACAGCCTTGGGCATGAGTATATTACACAATTCAGGTGGTAGAGTGCTTGCCTAGCATGCATAACTCAACAGGGTCAGATCCCCAGCACCACAGAAATGGAGTGTAGGGAAATGTCTATTATCCTAGTACTTGGGTGGTGGAGGCAGGAGGACCAGAAGTTCAAAGTTATCCTTGACTACATACTGAGTTTGAGGCTAGCCTGGGGTATATGATACTCTGCTTCAAGAAAAAGGAAAGAAATGGGGGGGTGGGCTTTTGGTAGTGACACAGGCCTGTAATCCCAGAACTCAGAAGGCTAAGGCAGGCACCATCGCAAGTGTGAAGCCAGCCTTGGCTGTCAACTTGACACACTTGGAAAATGGACTCTCAATTGAAGACTTGCCTCCATCAGATTGATAAATTGGTATGTCTGTGTGGGCATTTTCTTGACTGCTAATTGATGTAGGAGGCTCTGGCCCACTGTGGTTGGTGCTGACCTTAGGCATGTGGACCTGGACCACATAAGAAAGCTAGCTGAATGTGAACCTGGGAATAAGCAGGTAACCAGCTTTCCCCAATGATTCCTTTCTATGCTTCTGCTTGAGTTCCTGACCTGACTTCTCTCACCAATAGACCTAGAAGTGGAAGCCAAATATACCTTTCCTCCCAAATGGTTTTGGTCATGATGATTTTTTTTTGGGGGGAGCAGGAGGTCAAAACAGTTTCTCTGTGGCTTTGGAGGGTGTGCTGGAACTAGTTCTTGTAGACCAGGCTGGCCTTTAACTCACAGAGATCCGCCTGCCCTTGCCTCCTGAGTCCTCGAATTAAAGGCGTGTGCCACCACCACCTGGCAGTCCATGATGATCATGACAACAACAGAAAGAAAACTATTATAGACCTTTCTACCCATTGTGCTATCCATGGAACTTCTGGTTATCCCCCATTTTACAGGCGGGGTTATTGAGACAGATGTCATACATCTTGGGAGTGACAATCCCAGGGAGCAGTCCTGTGGCAATATCTGCTGGGAGTTCATCCCAAACACCCTTCCCATGCATATAGTCACACAGATGGTGACACTTACCACTGGTGATGCCATGCAGACGTAGGCAGAGGAAGAGTGGTGTCCAGGTCTGCCCTGCATCTTGTTCCAGAAAGCAGCACTTCTTGGAAAAGCTTGGAGAGAAGAGTAGAGAGCCTTCAGAAAACTCTTCTAGGGAATGCAGGAGCTACTGAAAGCCATGACCTAGAGACCAGTGGTTTCCCCAGTAGGACTAGGCAAGGCAGAAGTGTGGAAGCAGGGACCACTTAGATTGTACAAAGAGATGAGTGGTTACATTCCCCTCAACCTCTGAGCTGTGCACATAGTAGGTTCCTAGAACATACATTTTGAATGACTGACAACAACACATGCCACTCACAGGGATTTCTCTGCATTTTCTCCTTTGACTTTCACAAATCTGTGGGACAGACAAGGTAAGTTCTGTCAGCTCTGTTTTACAGAGAACTGAGTGCTGGTCAGGCCTTGAACCCTCAAATTGAATATCTGACTCCTTAACAGATATTGCCTTTGCAGTAAGAACCAAGTTAGGCCTTTCAAAGCATTGATGGTAGAATTAAGAAGAACCTGAGGGCCAACTATGGGTTCCTGGTTTTACTACCAGTTCTGTGATGACCAGTGTCAATGTTAATGCTGATTAATTGCAACAAAGGCTGAAGGTCAGAAGTGGGTAGAGGAGGTCAGATTCCCAAGGGAAAATGTACTCATGGAGACTCATTCCTACCACCCTTGACATAAGGGTGATCAGTGAGCTGCAGCTTGAATACAGTCAGATGCAACCATAGCAGGGAAAGGCCAGGTCTAGAGGGAAGCATGTCTTCCCTCTGGGAAGCACTTGGGCCAGAAGGACTGCCAGCCAGGCCCTCTCTGTACAACCATCCTGTCTCAGAGAACTGGGGAAGAGCTTTGAGATAAGCATTTAAATCCCTGTGGGAAAGTGGAGAGGACACACACTATTATGGCTGGTCTGAGAGGTCGTGATCAGCTCATCAACCAACCAATATGGGGGCCCGGAGTCAGACACACCATGGTCCACTCCTGGCCTGGTTGTCCATTAGTCATGTGACTGAGCTTAATTCCCCTCTGTGGAGACAAGAGTCATATGTGTCTCCTTGGGTGGATGGGAGAAGCTGAGGTGACAGTGCTTGGGAAGAACCTGGCACAGCTGCTGGAACCCAGCAAAGTCTTCTGTACCTGATAAGTCCTCCTAGGACTCAGTCATGTTGGGAATATGGTGTTGCTCCTGTTGGCATTCATCAACATTGCTGTCTAAACTCACAGAGATCCACCTACCTGGCAGCCTCTGGTTTTCTGAATTCTCAAAGGGCCTGTGGGTATGACCCACACTCTGGAACCAATTAGCCTCACTCTTCCCCTATGGCTTGGGTGGCATCCTATGTCTATGCCACCACATGGGGTCTAACCCAGCACCTTTCTGTCTGTCTTGATGGTGACAGCAAACTTCCATCTGATGTCACACAACAGGAGCAGGTGGGCTGCCAAGTCAGAGGACCTCCTGCCTGGCTATGCTGATGAATTCCAGGTCTTGTATGGCCTATCTTCCCAGCCACGGTGCTCTGTCCATGCACAGATCTTATTCGGCACTTACTTTTCAGGAGCAAATTGTCTAAGGTTCCTCAATCCTCAGGGATTGACCCCTTAGGGAAGACAGTTCCTGGAAACTCAAACACAAATAGGTCACCTCTGGATTCTGTTTTCAAGGTATGTTCTTCCCAGACCTCCAGAAAGGTTAGGTCACCTCTGGATTCTGTTTTCAAGGTATGTTCTTCCCAGACCTCCATGGGTGCTTGAGGCAAATCTCCTTCTGAGGTCACAGACTGTAATTTTAAGGTAATTCCAGTCACAGTTTTCTTGCTTCCTCCTTCCTACTATCTGCTGGAGTCAGCTTCCCTTCCTAGTGAGTAAATGTGAGGCTCATGGCTCCATTGACCCTGCATTTCAAACCTGAGGTACAGACCTGAGGATTCCAACATGTGCTGTACCATGGAGGAATCTAGAGATGTTATACCTGGGTGTATTAATTACTTTTTGTTTGTTTGTTTGTTGCCATGACAAAACCTGAAAGAAACATCTGAAAGGAGAAAACTGTAATTAAGTGCAGAAGACCTAGACACCTTATGGGATCAAAGAGGCAGGAAATGGCCTCTTTACTCCTAACCCCAACATGGGGTAAACAACACAGTTCCATGGTGGTCCAAGGGTGCCACAGCTGCTCAATTCCTTCTGCCAAGGGCTTCATGGGTCCCTCTCCTCAACTCACTTCTGGGACATGAGCATGGTCGCTTCTATGTATCAGGGTTAGGCTTCTGGTCCAAAGCCCTACTGGAGTAAATGGCAGGTGTGGGATGTAGACCCAAGGGCCTCTATCAACCTGCACCTTACCCATGGATTTTCTATGCTTCCCCCATATAGGCTCTAGAAAAGAAGGGATTTGCGTCTGTTTTGCTTCTTCTTTCCTATGGTGCCTCTTGCAGTACTCAGCACTTATCTTGTAATGTGTTGGGCCGGTTGACCAGAATGATCTGGTTCTGCCAACCTTTCCCTCCTCCACTCACCCTCAATGTATGTAGTAGGAATGCCAGTGGCGTAGGTCCTTCTATAAGGACGTTTTGGCCTGGTCTGCTGTCACCATGCTCTTCTGTCAAGCCAAGCCCCATTAGTCAAACAGAAAGACCCAGTGTGATAGCTTTTTGACTGTGAAGACAGCTCTTGACACTTGAATCTGGTTTAATGACAGCCACAGCTGTCCCTTTGAAGGACCTTCTACGTCCAGGATCCTCAAGCTCCTTCCATCTCTCTAGGACATTGTAGAGTGTCTTGCTGCGTCTTCAGATTCTGAAAACCAAGAAGCTACTTGGAGAAGTAGAGGGCTGGGAAAGACTCAGAACCACAATACCCAGGCACCTGAGAAGAAGGAGACTCAGACTCCAGAGGGCTACGCTGAAGGGAAACTGAGGCAGAAGCTTCAGTAAGAGCAAGAGAAGGCATGGGTTGGGTAGAACTCATGGAGCTGGATGCTTAGACATCCTTGTCCCAGAATATGCTATCACCCCCACCCCTGGCAGAGGGTCTGGGGAGCTGTTCTAAGAGAGAACAGCTTAATGCTGCACACTGGGTCTGGTCACACAGGTCTGGGGAGCTGTTCTAAGAGAGAACAGCTTAATGCTGCACACTGGGTCTGGTCACACAGGTGTAATCATATGTGAAAATTCTCTGAAGGGTTGGGTGCTTTTCCACACAGATATTCTACAGTTTAGTTTCCAAAATTACTTCAGGGGCTAGCTCAGCAGTTAAGGGCTCTGGCTGGTCTTCCAGAGGCCCTGGGTTTGATTCTCAGTGCCCACATGATAGCTCGCAACTTCCGTTAACTTCAATCCTGGGGGAATCTCATACCATCTTCTGTAAGCACTGCAGAGATGTAATACATGCAGACACAATTCAGACAAACTCCTTATACACATAAACAGACAAACAAATATATTTTTTTTTCTAGACTGGGTTTCTCTGTGTAGCCCTGGCTATTCTGGAACTCACTATGTAGACTAGACAGACTGCCTCTGCCTCCCCAGTGGGATTAAAAGTGAGTGAAACCACCACCCAGCAATAAGTAATACTTTAAATGGACTTGGAAGTTTCCTGCTTCAGTCATTATCAAGTATATGGGCTTTACCAGCTGGTTGGTTAGCTTTTGTCAACTCAACAGAAACTAGATTTATCTAGGCAGAGACAACCTCACCAGAGGAATTGCCTCCATCAGATTGGCCTGTCGGCACATCTGTGGAACATTTTCTTGATTAACGGTTGATGTGGGAGCACCCGGAACACTGTGGGCAGTGCCACCCTGAGTAAGTGGTCCTGGGTAGTGTGAGAAAGCAATCTGGGCGAGCTAGTAAGCAGGATTCCATCATGGTCTCTGCGTGGCTTCCTTCCATGATGGCCTATAACCTGGAGGCTAAAATCAAGCCTTCTCTCTTTCCAGGTTTCTTTTGGTCCATGTTTTATCACAGCATCAGGAAAGCAAACGAATAAAAGCAGCTTTCCCAGATTCTTCAGGAAGTGGATTGGAACGAGGACTTTTCCTCATTGGAGGAAAGCATTAGCTTTGCTTACAGATGCTTTCCTATAAGGAGATGTTAGGATTCATTCTAGACAGCCTGGACAGCCTGTCTACTTTCCCAAAATAAGCACTGGGAAGAAACAGCCTGTAAGGTGCCGAGGTATGTCTGTTTGTACACTCTTGTGCGTGTGTGTATAAGTGTGTGCGTGCATGTGTATGCATGTGTGTGTTCACATGTGTGCTTATGTGGGAGCACAGGCTCCCTTCCTACACTGGCGTACTTAGCAAAAAAGCACCTGGCTAAATCCAGAAACCTTCTGTCAAGTGTACAAGTCACATGTTACACATTCTGAAAGTTATTTGGGGGAGTGAATGAAACATTTTTTGAATGTCCATGAGGAAAAGGAAATGGAGGAGAAATAGCTCAAGACATAAATATCTATATCTGCCTCTAGCCTTTCTTAGGACGAGGCTGGAACAGGCAAGAGGGGAGCTACATGACTGCTGCACTTGGTTACTGTTCTTAAACTCCTTTAGGATGCCAGGCCAGCCAGACTGCTCCCACAGCTGTGGCTCTGCCTCTTCCCTGGTAGGCTGCACACCCTTGCTCTCTAGTATTTATGCAGCTTGTCTCACTGTGGCCGCTTTCTGACAGCCTCACATTGGAGGTCCCCATAATGTGGGTCCTCCGTGTCCACACCATTTCTTCTCAAGAAGACAGCCTAAGATCACTGTCATTTAAGTGATTTCACCAGTATGTACGCTGCCCCAGCTGAAGGTGCTATCCTCACTGCTAAGGCCATGGGCCAGCTCCGTGAAGCCCATCCATGGTAGACAGGTCCACACTTCAACTCCCTTCTAGGACATTTTCCTCATACCTTAACCACAGCTCCAGTGAGTCACTACATGATAGCTCACTCCCTATCTCCCTGTGTGAAGACAAGAGCTGACCTGCAGCCAAGTGGTAATTTTCCCTGGTGGGCATGACTCATTGGAAAGAGTGCCTCTGGGATATTAAAAGAGGGGGGAGGTTGGACTAAAACATTTGGGTTCCAAGCAAATTATATAGAAACAGAGCACAAATCAAGCTTTCCCCAAATAACAAGACAAGAAAAGAGTAGGGTTTGCAGTTAGCACAGTGCCCAGATGTTCCAGGAATGGATGAGATGTTTCAAAAACAATCCAATGAAACTTGGCTCAAACAGGTCAATTTGCTCATTGACATGTGACGACATACTTATCTGCTAAGTTCCCATGTGCAAAGAACGTGCCTCATCATGCCAAGAGGCCCCGATTCCTGTTCCTATAGGAACATGGAGCAGAGAAGAAAGCAAGGTTGCCCATGGGCTCCCTTTCTAGAGCAGACTCTTTACAGCTCCTTGGAATAGTCTTTGGCTACAGGGTCACCACACTCATCCACCACCTTGGATGATATGGATGCTGATTTCACATTTAATATGGAAGTGTTATTATGGTTTGCTCTTAAATATTCCCCCTCAGTTCATGGGTTAGACTTGGTTACTAGGGATGGAGAAGCCTTCAGGTTTGAGCCTAGTGGGAAGAAATGAGGCATCTAATGTCTGCTCTAGGAAGGGATATCATGACCCTAATCCTTTCTTTCTTTTTGCTTCTTGGTCACCATGAGGTGAGCAGCTTTGCATCCACAACACAAGCCCAAAGGTATTGGAGCCGGTCAACCATTGAAACCCTTGCCCCTGAGCCAGAATAGACCTTAACTTGGGGAAATGGATCAGTAGGTAAAAGTGCTCACCATGCAAGCATGAGGACCTGAGTTTGGATCCTTAGAACCTATGAGAAGCCAGGCTTAGTAGCACATATGTCTGTACTGTAACCCACTGCTGCTGTGGAGCAATAGGAGGCAGAGACAGGAGAATCCCCAGAAATATGACGGCCAGCTCACCTGTTGCATCTAACAGCAAACAAGAGACTGTCTTATACAAGGTAGAAAGCAAAGACCAACACCCAAGGTTGGCCTCCACGTGTGTTCTATGGCACACACATCCCCGCACTGCACTCACACATAAGCCTGTGTGTACACACACACCATAAACACACACACACACACACACACACACACACACACACACACACACACACACACACGAGTGGCGGGGGAGAGATGGAGAGAAAGATTAAAATGAACAAGAGCCCTTTAGTATTCTGCAGGTAAAATGAATAGAAAGTTTTCTCGGGAGTGCCCAGTAAGACACACTTAAAGGGCAAGCAGTATTATCACTCTATTAGTTTTTACTTGAATGTTGAGATACACTAACTTTAGGTCATTTAAGGCAAGAGAGCATCAAAAACTAGATTCATGCTAGGAAACTTCTGCCCATTCAAATGCTTTTCACTTTCCCAGAAAACCCAGAGTTTTATATACTATCTAAAGAGAAATATAAATGAAAACATCTGGCCTGATGTTTTAGGCCTGTGTAGCACGATCATTTTCCTGAACCATTCCTTTATGCATCATAGTTGTTACCGGGCACACCAGCTCCCCAAACATGTGGATATCTCATGGCAAAACAACCGTGTGCGATCAACTCTTCTGAGTGGTTTGAAGCATTCTGTCATCACAGGCTTCATCCCATGCTCTCCAGGTGATGCTAATGAAAATTACATTATGGATACTTTTCCTCTCACAATATTTTAAGCAAAGTAGATAGATACAGGGATGGCTCAGTGAGTAAAGGCCCTGGCCACCAAACCTGCCAACCTGAGTATGGGTCTCAGGGATTCCCACAGTGGAAGGAGAGAACTGATCTCTGGAAGACATCCTCCAACCTTCCTGTGCATTTGCAGCATGCACACCCATACAACAAATAAGTAAATGATTAGCTAATCAATTGAAAGGGTTTAAACCAAGATGCACACATTTTATCCATCAACGTGAAGGTGCGTTACCTGCTAAAATACGCCAGCATGGTCTCGTGGATTGGAATCACCTGGACCTTGCTGTTCATCTGCAGGTAAACCCACATGAGTAAGGTTTTCAGGAGATGGAACTCACTAAAGGTGAACAACCTGGTCAAAATGGACGATGGAGAAGACATGTCAGGACTGGGAGGGACAGGCCACTGGTAAGAAAAAGAAAAGAGTCTGGGGGTGAGACGAAGCTAGCCGGAGTCTGTAAGTGGCCTCAGACATGAGATGCTGAGTATCTTGTTCAGGGCGACTCAACTCAGCTGAGGGAGAACTAGGAACCAGATGCTGGGCCCTGAACTCTCTGTCACCGACCATGCTGTTACTAAAGTGATGTTCTCATTTGGTGAGCTCTCAATAAATGCTGTGTTCTCAAGTCATTACAGGTTTTAACTGTAATCCCATAGCACAGGCTTATGCCATTGAGAGAGATGCACCTGGCTTTGATAGCTGTTGAAGTTGGTCCTAGACTTGTTTTTATTTAACATTTCAATTTGTGTTCATTGTGGCTCTTTGCGTTACCTTGATTTTGATCAATTGCACACAGATATTAATTATATCTTAATAAGTCAGGCTATTCAGTCAGCCATTATCCGTCCTCGCCTGCTAAATTTTGCAGCCAAAGTGAATTGTCTCATTGGCCTTACTGGACCTTGGCCTGGCTTGAAACTGAAATGAATAACTTATCTCAGGTCATGCCACTCTGGGCTCAGATCTCTGGGGTATGGCTGTGATCGCTCAGCTGTGAAAGGGCAAGCCTAGCCACTTCTCAAAATGTCAGTGGTGGAGACCTGAGAAGAGGACTCATTGTGTAAGCGTCCAGTTGTTGCTCTGTCACAGGGCAGCTTAGGAGGACACAAATTCATCATGGTTCTGGAGGTCAGAAGTACACAATGGAGTTCGCTGGGTTCTGATCATGCTGTGAACAGGATCAGTTAGTCCTTCCTGGAGGCTCTAGGGAGAATCTTTTTCCCCTTTGTGTCTTGGCACCTGGAAAGCTCTGTCATTCCCTGGCTTTGGCCGCTTCTTTGGCTGAGCCAGCAATGCAGCATCCTCTGACTCCTCTCTCTCTGACTCCTCCCTTTCACACATGGAAAGAGCCTTCCTGTGATACACTGGGCTGACTCCTATACCCCAGGGTAACCTCCAATTTTGAAGTCAGCTAATTAGAGGCCTTCATTCTACCTGCAACCCCAACTCACCTTTGTCATGTACTCTGATACAGTCACATGTTCTGGGGATTATGTGGGCATCCTTGAGCCATTACTGTGCTGACCACACACAGATAAAGTGCTCAGGACAGTGCCCGGCACATGACAATGTGCTCAGCAATGGCAGGTCTTATTCAAAGTGGCAGTGATGGTTGCAGAGCCCAAGCTGTGGCCACAGCAGCAAGAACCCACTATGCCACATGGTGTGATGACACACACACCTTTAGTCCCAGAACTTGGGAGGCAGAGGCAGGTGGATCTCTTTGATTTTGAGGTCAGCCTGATCTCCACGGTGAGCCAGGACAGTCAGAGTAACATAGTGGGGGGAAAAAAAAGGCCACTGTAACCAAAGCCACTCCAGCCCTCTCTAAGGCCTCAGAATTCTGCTGGCTCAACTATCAAAGGGACTGTTTCAACACTTCTTAAACCCTGGTTATAAAATATGGCATAGACTCTTCATTCCCTACCTCAAGAGGTCATTGTAGGTGAAAACCAAGTTAAATCATGTCTCTAAAAGAGAATGCAAGTGCAACCCTCCCGCCTCACACACTATTTCTGGACACGGTATAATTGCTTCGTTCCTTTTATTTGTTTCCAGGCCACCTACAGATACACTGTCTTGAGTCTAGCCAGACAGATCCAAGTTGGTCACTGTCTGGGCCACAGCAGCAAGGCAGGAAAGGGAGGCACTTCTTAGAAGCAGATGCCACATCCCCATAGAGAATTTAGTCAGCTGGGTGGGGGGATCTGACTGTGTGGCTTCTAGAGTAGATGCTACATTTGTGGCCTTCAAGTCCAGAAAGTTTCTTGAGATCTTATTAAGGACAAGTCAGAAATAACAAGAGGGATGATCTAGGCTCCATCACTCAGATCCTGGCTTTTAGTAAGACATTTGCTGAAGTTGAGGTCTCTCCATTTAGGACAGCATCAGTCTCTAAGAGCATTTACAGGCCTATCCAACCTGCAGCCCCGAATGCTTCATGGGCTCTAGAAGAGTGATGAGTGCAGACTGATATAAAATCATAAATTTATTGAAAAACATTGTGAGGTTATTTTGTTTTGTTTTATTTATTTATTCATTTATTTATTTTTTTAATTTCATTGCACACTCCTGGAACTTGAACATTGTAGATGACAATGCTGTCTCAATGTCAGCTGCCTGTGACATGGCTGCATTAGCCCCTGCAGGAAGTAACCACAAGGAGAACATTTGTACACACTTTTTAAATTAATCCAAGAGCTTTGGAGACTTCAATGCAGATGGAACTGAGTCTCCCATGATGTGCTTTGCATGTTCCCTGGTATTTGCTTGCAGCCTCCTCAGTGTAACTGATCCTCGTTCTTTAGGAGAAAATTGTTGTCATGCATAAGACACTGTCTTCTTAATCTATTTTTCAAGGAAAACGCTGCACATAAACAATAACCCTTCTTTCTGAACACTGACCTTGGAGAAAGCCACGCCCACATGAACGGGCTATGAACAAGGACATCCATTGCTGCTCTGTTTGTCATAGCAAAAATAAATAAATAAATAAATAAATAAATAAATAATAAAAAAAATAAAATGAAAGGCCTTTAGAAGAAGAATGAAGAAGAGATGGTTGTGGACTTGTTCCATAGAGTCCTGCACAGCACTCAGAATTAGAAAAATCTGATTAAATGCATCAGCCTGGGTCGGGAGGGAACACAATGCCTGGCTGTGAGTAGGTTGTGGTACCTCCCTACCACCATCAGGGTGCTGGTTTGCAAGACAAGATAATGCATTCTTTGTGGGTGTACAAGTGTGCAGATAGAGTTCACACACATGATTGGGGATGCCTACAGACATTCTCTTGTTTTTAGGAATGGAATAGCACTGAAGAAAAGAGGTGAGCTGCTTTGTTGGTAATATTTTGCTGTTTTTGTTTGTCTTGGTTTGGTTTGGTTTTTGAGACAGGGTCCCACTATGTAGTTTTGGCTGGCCTAGAGCTTACTATATAGACAAGGCTGGCTTCAAACTCACAGAGATCTACCTGCCTCTGCTTCCTGAGTGCTAGGATTACAGATATGTGTGTCACTACTCCCAGCCTGATATTTTCTTATTTTCTTTCTTTCTTTTTGCTTTGTTTTGTTTTGTCTTTCAAGACAAAGTTTCTCTGTGTAGCCCTGGCTATTCTGGAACTCCCTCTGTAGACCAGGCTGGCCTTGAACTCAGAGATCTACCTGCCTTTGCTTCCTGAATACTGGGATTAAAGGTGTGCACCACCGCCACCCCCCAACAATTTATTTCTTAATTTATGATAAAATGTTACTATCTGTTCATTTAGAGAAGTGAACTGTTTTGTTTTCTATATAAAAACTTGTACAGTAAAATGGGCCAGAGAGATGTCTGGGCAGGTAAAGGTGCTTGTTACCAAGCCTGATGAGCTAATTTCTATCCCTGTGACCCACGGTAGAAGAAGAGAACTGATTCCCACAGGCCATCCTCTGACTCCATACATGTGTTGGGACATGTGTACACACACACACACACACACACACACACACACACGCACACACGCACACACACACACACTTTTAATGATTTTAGTGAAAAACAGATCAAAATTCTTATTGATCTTGACCATCATTAAAGGAACTGGTCTCATAGGTATACTAGGGTCTGGTGAGGGCCATGGCTCTGAGGTAGTTCTAACGTGGGTTCAAATCCAGCTCATTTGTGTGTGGGGTGGAGGAGGGAAACACAGCTTTGACTACCCTTCATTTCCCATGATCTCCATCTCCCAGGTGAAAACTGTAAATGAAAGGATTCAGCACACTGGGTTGCTGTGGTGCCGAACCCTCTGAATACCCACTTAGAGTGCTCTGTGTTTGACAGGTGCTCAATAATTGGTAGACATTGTTATGTTTGCCAGAGAAGGACTAGCTTCAGAAATTCCATGTGGGACAGCTCAGCATCACACACCCTGTCAGAGTGTGGGACAGGTATGACAAGGATGAGAGGGGTGTCCTTTTTTTCTTTACTTTAAACAATATTACATGTGTGTGTGCACGTGTGTGGTGTGTGTGTGTGTGTGTGTGTGTGTGTGTGTGTGTGTGCATGGGTGCATGTGTGCCTGCATTTCATGGTATATATGAGTACAGGTCACATATGTTTTGATATATGTAGAGACCAGAGAACAGCTCCGGGCACTCAGCTCTCACCGTCTACCTTGTTGAGGCAGTAGCTTCCTTGTTTCTACTGCTCTCTGTACCCCAGGCTAGCCCTTGAGCTTTTAGGCTTCCACCACCCATCTCATAGCAGGAGATTACAGATGTGTGCCTACCACATCCAGCTTTTTACTTGGGTTCTGGGGATGAACTCAGGTCATCAGGCTTGCACAGCAAACACTTTTTACCTACTAAGCCATCTCACCGTGTCTGTTTCTTCAGGGAACTCACAAGATTCTGAGCTTCCCTGGGTCACAGGTAGGAGGTAGGGGATATTGGAAGGCAGCTACGCTCACCCCTATACCACCAATACAGATGAAGCAGAGGATCTTGAAAACATAGGGACTGGGCCCTCTGTTGCAGGGTACCCCCTTGTGCCGATGGGAACTGGACAGTCCCCAGGGCTTCCAGGAACACAGAACTTGGAATGAAGTTTTCATAAATTAGAGTTAGGAGAACAAGGGTCACCTGGTGGTGACCTCTACATGGAAAATGAACTGAGAACCACATTCTAGGCAAACAAATTAAGCCCAGAGGCCCAGGAGGCCAGGAAAACAGTGTATATTTGTATATAGTTTGCAAAATGGAAAGTCAAACCAAAAAGATGAGGTCAAGGTCAGAGAGAAAATTCTGGACAGCCCGGAGGTAAAAGCTTCTACTGAGAAAGGCTATTAATCCCCGTGCCTTTCTCACAGGCTGGGGGGTGGAGGGTGAAGTGACTGTGGGTAGCTAGCACGGTAGCTGAGTGGGGCCCA